TGCTTTCCTCCTTGCTTCTTTCATTTCATCCCTCAAAAAAATATTATTGAAGGTCTTTGCCTGTAGTAGTCATTGTTCAAGCCAAGGATATACACAAAGAAGGACCCGACCCTGTAGTAGCTGACAATCTGGTGTAGTGTGTGTTGGGGGAGAAGGAAACATGGGAACAGACATACAGACATACAGACATACAGGAAAGAGTTGTTTAAAAACAGGCAAGAGAGTGCAGCCAGCTGTGCCCTGGTGAGATAGGGAAGGTTCTCCAGAGGAGATAAAGATTTGAACTAGTTGTTGAAGGATTAATAAAAGGGGAGAGGGACTTCCCTGGTGGCACAGTGGTTAAGAATCTGCCTGCCAATGCAGGAGACACCGGTTCAAGTCCTGGTCCAGGAAGATCCCACATGCCATGGAGCAACTAAGCCCGAGTGCCACAACTACTGAGCCTGAGCTCTAGAGCCCACAAGCCACAACTACTGAAGCCCGCATGCTGCAACTACTGAAGCCTGCATGCCTAGAGCCCGAGCTCCATAATGAAGAGTAGCCCCTGCTTGCCGCAACTAGAGAAAGCCCGCACGCAGCAACGAAGACCCAACGCAGCCAAGAAAAAGAAAAAAAAAAAAAGGGGGAGAACAGAGGGCATAAAAACACTTGTCATGTTGAGGGGCTGGTGAGTAGTTCAAAAATTATAAAATTTGGGGTCCATGAAAGTGGGTAGTGGGAAGTATGGCTAGAAAAATAGGATGGATTCTGATTGGGATGGGCTTTGCAAGTCTTATTTTGTCATGTAGACATCAAAGAGCCATTGAAGGTTTTATAACAAAGTAGAGTTTATTAGACTTGTATTTTAGAACCATAACTTTGGCATATAGGTCAGAGAGGAATGAGATTGGTAATAGGGAGACCAATTGCAAGTCTATTACAAATAGTTCACATAAGAAATATTGAACATAGGAATGGCTTGTTTTCTCCCTAAGTCGTCTATGTGTGAGAAACAAGGAAAAAAAGTAAAATCTGGGAAAGTAGAACTTTATTTGGCATGTAAGTTAGAAAAGAAAAAAAAACAACACAGCCATCAAAGAGCCACATAAGGGATCCTTGCAGTGAAGGAACTGTATCCTGCCTGACATGATGATACAGAAACTGACACGTGATAACATTGTAGAGAACTAAACACACAAACACACAAGAGGATTGAAGTAAGGGGAAATCTGAATAAGATTGTGGATTGTTGTCATCATTGTGGTAAACTGCGTAAAGTTTATGTGGATCTCTGCGTTATTTTATACAATCGTGTGTGAATCTACAATTATTTTAATAAAAATTTCAACTCAAAATGATAGCAAAATTAAGATATTTTCAAACCAAATATATATTTTATATATATATATATATATATATATATATATATATATATATATATAAAAATCTCTTTTTGGATGTAGAGGAAGAGATTTAAGGCAACTTTTCCACAATTCCTCACTGGAATTTTGATTGATTTTATGTTGCAGTCATATAATAATTTGGAAAAAAAATGGAAAAAAAGAAAACCAACCAGATTCAAAACTAAGATAAGGTATTTAAATGTGTAGTTTTTTAGATGATAATTATGATTGGTTCCATATTTTACATATTGATTAATTGTGAGGGGAGAAAATAAACATTTATTGGGTACTTAAATGCAATCACTGCTCTGGGGGCTTACATATATTTTTCCATTTCATGCTGCTGAAAAGGCAAATTTTATTAAAATTATTAATGCACTTTTCAGACGGGGAAGCCTAAGTGTCAGAATGTGTAAGTACTTTTGCAAGGTCACAGTGTTTGGACTAAGCTAAGCCTGTCTGACTTTCAAGCCTATGTACCATGTAAGGTACATGTAAGGACAGTTTTCTTTCCTACCATGTAAGGACAGTTACAGACACAAGCATATTTAAGACAGCATCTCTGTCCCTGACTTCTCTGGTTGAGCTCTACAGTGTCTGTACCCAATACTAAGAAATGTGGAATATAGTACTTTTGTGGTTATCAGTGTGGATTATTTCAGCTCAGGAAAATATGTTTTCAAATTTGTGACAAGATAGCTTTGATAAAATATTTCACAAAAAATAGAGTCAGATATAATTAGACTTCAGGGCAGTCCCTTCAACCTTTAAACAAAACAAAAACAAAAACAAAACCTCAGTAAGAGGGTTATAACATTTAACTATTATGGAGTGTTTACTATCTGTCAGGTGCCAGGTTAAGCAACTTACGTGCTGTTTAACATCGCACAATGAAATAGGGATGAAACTTGGGCTATTAGACTTCAAGGCCACACTGCTAAACCACTGGGCTATAATGCTGTAAGCATCTACCAGATGAAATTAATGGGGAATGAAGAAAAAAGGAACTCTAACGAAAAGTTTAGCATGATCCACGATCAGTGACCAGAGCCACCATTATTGTAAATTAATTACATGAGTTAACTACATTGTGTGATTTGGGGGCCTAAGGGGGTCTAAGCCATGAGAAAATCTCAATGCTATGCTCAGATCGGTCACCTTCTACCCCTTTATGTGATTTTATTTTCTCCACAGCTCTTTCACTTACTAATACCTAAGATTGTTTCATTACTTGTCTATCACTTGCCCCACATCACCAGAACACAAGTTCAATAAAATTAAGAACCATGTCTTTCTTGTTCAATGCTGTATTTCCAGTGTGTCAAGTTGTTCCTGACATATAAATATTTGTTGAATTAATGCATAAATGATTGCCCTTCCTGGGTCTTAAATGGTAGAGGTTTAGATTTACAAACTGTGGTTCAAAAGATCACATTAAAAGGCATGCCTTATTAGCAATTTATTCGTGTTTCATTCCTTAAATTGGCTAGGGTAATTGAAAGAAAGGGAGGAGGAAGCCGGAGGAAGGAGCTGGAGTAAAGGAAAGAGAGAATATAAACTGGTAACGATAAAGCCTTTAAATATGGCAGTGGGGGTTGAAGAAATTAGGAGCCTCGGATCAGTGCCTGAAATTGGTGGGGCACCCTGGAGTGGGATGGAAACCATCATGAAGGCTAACTTCTCAATTTGGTCTCAGATGTTCAAACCACCAACGTGTATGGAAAGGAGGTGAAAGTTATTTACCTTTGATTAGACTGCGGTGCTCTTGAGGACTCCATTGAAATTAGTGCCAAGTGTACTGACATTTTGGGCACTGGTCTACCTAGTTTGTGTATTGTAGATTCTTCAGGAGGAGCCATTTTTTTTTTAAATTTTTAATTTTTTGCAGTACGCGGGCCTCTTACTGTGTGGCCTCTCCCGTTGCGGAGCACAGGCTCCGGACGCGCAGGTTCAGCGGCCATGGCTCACGGGCCCAGCCGCTCCGCGGCATGTGGGATCCTCCCAGACCGGGGCATGAACCCGTGTCCCCTGCATCGGCAGGCAGACTCTCAACCACTGCGCCACCAGGGAAGCCCAAGGAGTCATTATTGATGTGATTATAATCCTTATTAGCCTTACATCATTGTCAAGTAGGATGTATATGAAGACAGAAAGTTGAGAAAAACAAAATAATCACATAAGAAAACCCAAAATGAATGGATAAACTCAGTAGCACAGAGTGGAAAAGGCAACTAATTTCAATGAGGTTGGGGAGTGCCGAGGGAAAAAACCATATCCTCTAAAATGGATTAGGGGTTGCTGCTAAACATGAGAATTACAATAGATGACTCTAAGCAGTTAGAAGTTTCAAGGAATACAAGAGAGAATAGTTCTCAAACTTTTTAATCTCAGGACCCCTTTACATTCTTAAAAATTGAGGACTCCAAGAACTTTTATGTGTATTATAGATACCTATATTATCATATTTGAAATTAAAATTAAGAAATTTTAAGAGTAGTTATTCGTTATTTCATTTTAAACATTCGTTATTTCATTTCATTTTAACAGAAAATCTTTTATATGAAACGTAACTACTTTTCAAAACAAAAAAAATTGAGTAGGTGGCATCGTTTCATGTTTTTGCAAATCTCTTTAACATCTGGTTGAACAGCAGATGACTGGATTCTAATATTTGCTTCTGTTTTCAGTGTTTCCATATCACATGTCATGTAGCCTCTGTAAAACTCCACTCTACACTTATGAGAGAATGAGAGTGCCAAGGCAAATAACATTTTAGTATTATTATGGAAATACTTTTGACTTTCCCTTTTAAAGAGTCTGGGGACCCTCAGACCACACTTCGAGAACCACTGTTTTAAGAGTTAATATTAGTCAATCCAGCTTCAACTGAAAAATAGCCATGAGGTTTCACAGGCCCTGAGGCTTTACATGGGATTTACTTTTTCAAAAAGATGAAACAACACTGTCCTCATTATAAAGCATCCAGACAATACACAAACATGCTATTTTCATCCATCGAAAGTCCTAAAGGATCGCAAGTCTGGTAGAAGGATGGAGAGGTAGTAATGAAGAGCATCCCCGGAAGCCACGGATACCCACTGAGTTAGGAGAAGCAAAACCAGCAGAAGACGCCGCCGAAGTGGTTAGAAGGAAAGAACTGTTGTTCTGAGGGGGAAAAATGGGCGGGGAGAGAAAATGGTTACCGGGGACCGGAGAGTTGCAGGAATTAGGCCGTGACAGCGTCGGGAACTAAGGAGCGCTCGCCGTTAGGATGCGGCAAGCCGGGACCCGGTGGCTGGCCCCCTGCCCTCACCCTTCCCAGTACCACGCAAGGGGGACGAGGTGAGCGGGGGGCGAGGCTGGCGGGTCTGGGCCCTTCCCGGGAACGGAAGGGGTTGCGAGTTCCTTTCCAGCGAAGCGGGTAGAAAAGAGATGGCTGGAGGCGTAGTAAGGGGCGGAGGCGGGAACCCGAGGAACCCAAGCTTGGCGCGGGAGGTTTGGAGGTCGCGGGGGGGAAAGAAGGACGGTTCTGTTGCTAGGCAACCCGTCCTGGACCCGCCTCCCGCTCGCGTTGCTAGGAGACGGCGAGGCCAGGGGGAGGGCGGTGGCGGGGGCCCTACGTGCTGACGCTAATTGTATATGAGCGCGAGCGGCGGGCTCTCGGGTCTTTTTTAGCGCCATCTGTTCGCCGCGCCGCCTTCTGCTCCTCCCGCCGCCGCCCTGAGTCACTGCCTGCGCAGCTCCGGCCGCCTGGCTCCCCGTGCTACCCACCGGTAACGGACGGGAACTCGAAGGGGAAGGGGGGACGTAGAGGCGGCCTGCGCGGAGGGAAGGGGTGAAGGGACGGGGAACCGCGAGCGGGGGCTGCTGGCCGCCCGGGCCTCCGGGGCCGTCCTGTGAGGCCAGAGCCCGAGCCGTTTGCGGAGTCTCGACCCCGCAGTCGGAGAGGGCCCTTGGGATCGGCCGGCGCTTCTCTGGGGAACCGATCAGGACACGCGCGGGGGTCGGTGCGGCCCGCGTGCTAGTCTGCACCGAGCTTTTGAGCTCCACCAGCTTCTCAGCGCGGACGGGAGCGAGGCCGCGGCGACGCCCGGGCGCCCGGAGGAGGCGGCGGCTGCGCCACTAGGGACCGGCAGGCGCCTGGGGTGCGGCCCGGGCCCAGGTCTGTAGCCCACCGCCGCCTCGACGCCCCCGCTCACTCAAAAATAATACTCGGAGGGAGGCCGCTGGGGGATGGAAAGAACCGCGGAGGCTGCGAATTCCGATGGGAGGGAGGGGCTGTGAGGGGACGAGGCCCCTGGGCGGGGAGGGGGCGGGGAGGCAGCGAGGCTCCTAGGCTCCCCGCCCACTGTAGGCGGCGATGGGTCTGGGAGGGGAAACCCCCGGCGGCTTCCCTCCGCACGTGGTCGCCGGCGGGGCCTGATTGGAGACCCCTGTCTGGTTGTCCCTACTTTACTGGAAGTTGTGGAGATGGTGGGACGTGAAAATGAATAGTGAGCCAATAAGTCCAGCCCTTGGGTTTCCAACTCTTCCCTGCTTCTCTTTGGTCTTAGTCTTTTTATTGGTACCGGAGGAAAGTGTGAACGTTAGGTGCTGAATGATGAAGCAGGACCTCCACTGCTAGGATTTTAAAGAATTAACAGGTGTAAAGCGCTTACGTTAGTTGTTATTAACAAGAGATTCTTTTGTGTGTCTCAAGTACAAATTAGAATTAGGATGGTTATCTTGACCAGGGTTTTTTATTTGGGGAGAATTGATCCTAATCAGTCTAAGCCTGAACAGTTCTAAGGTGGAAGTAAAGGATTTGGCCTGCAATGTCTTTAATTTTTCTAGGACTTCTGTTGCTTTCTTACAAATTAGTTCCTTTGTTCACGTTCCCAGTCCAAGATAGTTAACCAGTTGTTTTGTTTTTAAGGTGAGTGGGGTTATGGTGGAGGAGGTATTACGGGGTGGAATGCGGCGTCAATGTAAACGTACTGAGCGAAGTGTGTAGTCTGCTGCCTTGTCAGTGCGCCCGCTTTGCCCTCAAAAAAAGAGGCAGGGCAGGGAGACGGGTAATGAGGTCCTTTAGGGGAGGGCTGGGTTTTCCGAGTACAAGAACCGGGCACATGATGTCCTCAAGGAGCCCCAATTTTATTCTCTCACTGTCTGATTATACTGTAAGGACTGCGCTTTAAAAGCTCACAACTTCAAACTGCTTGCCTGATTTCAGGAGAGCTGAGCTGGAAAACGAAATTTGCCATTTTTGAAAATACGTAGCATCAAAATACCTTTGCAGAATAGTATTTAGTTCCTATTTTCTTGTCGGCTTTAATTAATCCTACTTCTATACGTACTTAGTAATACACCTTTGGCTAAGGGAAAAACCTTATATTTAGAAAAACTTATTTAAAGCTGACCGTTGGTAAATGAGGTTTACAGTGATCTTCTGGGGCTAAATCTCATGCTTCTTTCTAAGTTTTCTGAGTTCAAATTAACGGCACAAATCTAAAATGTGCCATTTACTTTTTAAGAAGACTGGTCCTTTTATATCACTCTGAAAACTTTGATAAAATGTATATGTTGCAAAGTACCTATTTTTGATATAGGACCTATTGACAGGGAAAATTACTAAGCTAATACTAAATGTGACACCCTTGTACTCTAGAGATAAAAAAAAAAAAACACACCCAACACTTGTACCAGAACTAATTTAATCCAGGTGCTATTTCTTTTATTACTTACTCAACTTGCCCATATTGCCTCGAGATGACTGACTGATTCTAAACTCCCCAAAATGTATTCATACAGTGTCCTTTTGCAGGAAAAGGGGCTAAAAAAGGTAGAATCTGATTGACTTAAAGGTATGAAGATGTCAACATACTGCTTTGCTTACTTTATTTTCTGCTTGATTGTAAATTTGAAATATTAATGAAAGGGGATGAACCCTGATCAATTTAGAAAACTAATGAACAATCTATTCATATTCTCAAGTCTAATCAAACCTGTAATTACTTGTGTTCTTAGTTGATTCTTTGAGTAAATATTTTAACTCCTGTTTGGACATACACCTTATTTCATGAGCCAAACAGGCAAATTGGTTGTCTAGATATAAAGTGTTGAGTTGTGATGAGTGCCCTGAAGAAAAAGAAAGTGGGGGAAGTGGGAGATAGTGTAGTATCTATAACCTTCTTTACATGAAGGAATTTGTTAAAACGGCAACATTAAGACCCATTTCATACTAATTTCATCTGAGTAAGTTCTCTCCCTGTTGGGCAGAGTAGGGGTTAGAAGGTGAGCACGGTTGCTTTCACTCATCCTTGTAAGTAAGTTGCTTAGTACTCTGACTGCAGCCCACTAGATCACATTACTGGGCTTGCCATGGAAAGTGGCCTCTACACTTCTGGTTACCAACTGTGCCTTTTACTGCTACATAGTTTGATGTATTTTTACTTGCTCAGAAGTTTTGTACATTGTGATTTTTTTTGGGAAAGGAGGCTATAATTTTGAAGAGTTTATTAATTTGAATTATTTTCTCAGGTAAAGAGGGTACATAAGAAGAGCACAACAGGCAGAAAATATTCTTGCATGATTATTCAGGCAATGTTTTACTCTGTGTGTATATTAACACATTTAATGCTCCTGGAGATAGCTGGTATCAACATTTTGATGAGGAAACTGAGGTACAGAGCAGTTAAAGAACTTATCCAAGGTTACATAATTGAACAATGATGATTTATAATAAGGATTTTATATTGGTTTAAAGGGAGTTCCCTTGACTTAAATTTACACTGTATACATCTGCTGGGAATTTAAAAGCACCCTGCTTGGGTTCCAATGGGCTTCAAGGGAAAGTTCAAGCACTTACAATCCTGAAGATTTCTTCCAACATATGTCTGATATGTGAATAAATTGTTTTAGTTTGTTAATGCTGAGTGAATTTTCAAGAAATATCAGTATGTTTCTCTGCTGTTGGGTCAGATGATCCCTTGATCCCTTGAACAGAAGACAGTGTTCTCAAATAGGAGTTCATTTGGCTTGGGAGTGTAATACAAAAGTCACTTCTAGGTTGACTTTTGATATCCCTGAAGTGAAAAAAGCATAAAGAATGAGATGTGTTGTGCTGGAATCAAGTAAAGTACTGAGCCCCTGGACCACCGAAATTGTTAATAGAACAGCAATGTCCAAAATACAGATTTGTTTAAAATGCATTTGGAATGAGATATGAGGTCTGAAGTAAAGGGAAATGTTTTCCTTGGGATGTTACTGGCTCCCTTGAACTCTTTTGCTTTAAAACATTTGTAGTTCTTTTTTTTTTTAATTCTTTAAAAATTTTTATTTTTTAATTCTTATTTTCTTACTTTTGTATTTTTGGCTGTGCCGCATGGCTTGTGGGATCTTAGTTCCCCAATCAGGGATCGAACCCACACCCCGGGCAGTAAAAGTGCGGAGTCGTAACCAACCACTGGACCGCCAGGGAATTCCTAAAACATTTGTAGTTTTTAATGATTGGCTGTTTCACCATGAAGTAGTCATTTTCTGTAAAGGAATATAACTATAGGTTACTGTATAATCTATGTAGCAGTAGGCTGATGGGGAGGCCCCTTGGCTTTTGGAATAGTGGAATTGGCATGGGTATTGGAAGTCAGATTTTAATTCCTAGTTTTTTCACTTGTGTGTTGCTGAGCAAGTTGCTTACTAATCTGCAAATAAGAGGAAAGCATGTAATAATTTTCTACAGAGTGAGCTCCATGAATATTAGCTTTCTTTCCTTCTCATTGAAAGTAAGGAGAACAGAATCAGGTACACTGAAATGGTAGGTCATTTGATGTCTGGACATCTAGCTATTATAAGACCACAGAATAATCAAATGATGGTCTGATTGAATCACTTGTTTCCCCCTCTTTCTCCAGTGGAAGATTTTCTTCATGTTCAAGTTCTTGGGTTAAGATTTGCCTTCAGTCATGTTATGAGCTGTCTTTCCATTGAGATCTTCTGTAACATATATTGTTTGGGTAGTGGGTTGAACCTTTTGTCGTAAACTTTAACCTCTTTAAACTTTAAAACAGTGATACCACCTTTTGGTTAAGGATTGTATTCTACTTTGAAGCTTTTTGTATTCTTACGTTGTAGATGTGTTTCTTATAAGTGGGATGCAGTTGGATTTTGTTAAATCTAGTCTGACAGTTTTAAAAGGGAGCCTTTAGTTGATTTATGTAATCACTATGATTAGGTTTAAATCTGATTTTTGTGTGTGTGTACTTTTTATTTGTCCAAAACCTGTTTTTCTTTTAGGTTGATGTAAAAATAGGTATAATTTACTTGGTGTTCCTTGTACTTCGGAAGCTACATGTTCTCTTTCTGAAATTTTGGAGTCACCTTAGAAATTATAACATGCTTACTTAACATTAGAATAATCCATTTCCTCCCCCCCCTTATTCTCACCACTGACAGTGTTATGGTAGTTTAAATTTAACACTACACAGTGGTGATATTATGTCTTTTAAAATATTTGTTTAGGTATACGCTGATAGCCTTATTTCCTCTTATTTCTTCTTGTATCTTTAGATCTCGTGTTTGGGATCACTTGCCTTCTGCCTGAAGAATATACTTAATAGCATTTATTAATGAGAGTGCTGGAGATATTTTTGCCTGATATTTGTTTCACCTGCGTTCTTTTTTTTAATTGAAGGAAACTTTTTACTTTTATTCTTATTTTTAAATTTATTTATTTTTGGCTGTGTTGGGTCTTCGTTGCTGCGCGCAGTCTTTCTCTAGTTGCGGCAAGCGGGGG